ATGTGGTAGGGAACGGCACAGTTCGTCCCAAGAAGGCCAATGTGGAGGCCATACTGGCCTTCCCTCTCCCTACCACCAGGAAGGCACTTATGAGGTTCCTAGGGATGGCCGGGTTCTACAGGCGGTTCTGTAGGAACTTCTCTACCCTGGCCGCCCCTCTGACGGACCTTACCAGCTCTTCCGTCCCCTTCCACTGGACCCCAGCCTGTGACCAAGCAGTCAGACATCTCAAGGCGTTCCTCTTATCCTCGCCAGTGGTATGGACACCGGACCACTCCCACCCCTTCCAACTACAAATTGATGCCAGTGGGGTGGGTATTGGTGCGGTCTTGCTCCAAAAAGACCCTCTGAGCGGCATTCTCCATCCAGTCGCTTACCACTCGGCCAAACTCAAGAAACACCAGAGCTCCTGTGTAACCTCCTTCGTGATCCCACTGCGGAGGTCTTACGGGGGGGGAATTGTTACGGTCACACCACCACCTGCACGCCGTAACAACCCAACACCCCAACCACCACCTCATCAAGCACCATCCACTATCCGGACAACACTTATCAACCACCAACCAGCTCACCCTCCATTCTCCACCAACCAGCTCGGCTTCGTTCGGTCAGCTTTCCGAATCTCGGAACTGTTTCACTGGCCAGGAAGCCGGCGAATCAGAGGATATATAAGGAGGTGCAGCAGACATAGAAGGCAGATCGCTTTTGCTCTCTCAGTGAACCATCACTCTCTTGGATACTTTACTACAAAGGGATTACCATCATCTCCGGCACTACCGCAAGTATAAGTGTTATACTCCCCCCATGTCTTAGTGTGTCTCGGGACTTATTTAGTTAGGTTTGTTGTGTATATTTGTGTATGTGTTTATGTTCATTTCATGTGTTTTGGTGACGGGTTATTTTGATATGTGTTATTAAAGTAAGTGTCAGTTACTTCCCCTTTGTTTTCCCCCTCAAGTTTTTGTTTTTGTTTGTTACGGCTCTGTGCTCTTCACTAGGCACACGGTAAAACGCACACGGGGCGTAACAATTGGCGACCGTGACAGGACCCCTTTAAAGTCTTATCCCTCCTTTTCTATAACAACCCATTAACGTAACATTTGTTCTTCCTTCGGTGTTCATCAGTGTACGGTGGTGGTGTTTTCTTTTTTTTCTGTGACTATGCGCGGTGTAATTTAAATTTACCTTTGTGTTCTATACATTTGCTCCATGTGTGGTTAAAAAGGCTTGTGGTATTAACAGATTGGTATTACACTTCGATAGTTAGCATAGGAGAGTAGGTAAGAGGTAGGTTCACTCATCGATAGCACTTATCATATTTTTTGCACATAGGCAGGTGTGTAATAGGTGTTATCCAAGTGTTGGGATCGTCTCAAGGNTTTTCTGTGACTATGCGCGGTGTAATTTAAATTTACCTTTGTGTTCTATACATTTGCTCCATGTGTGGTTAAAAAGGCTTGTGGTATTAACAGATTGGTATTACACTTCGATAGTTAGCATAGGAGAGTAGGTAAGAGGTAGGTTCACTCATCGATAGCACTTATCATATTTTTTGCACATAGGCAGGTGTGTAATAGGTGTTATCCAAGTGTTGGGATCGTCTCAAGGTCGTTTGTACCCTCTTATTTCAAGGTCGTTTGTACCCTCAGATCCTCTCACTTCGCGGATCCTTTTTTTTTCACTAGTAATCTTGGTCGATTACCTAGTCTCATATTTATCCGCCTCTCAAGTCTCACGTTCAAGTTCCAGTACTATTCACTCCTCAAGTCTCGTAATTTAGAGCATCCGGATCTGTTCTTAATGCCGTAATCTCTATTTTACATCCCTCAGTGAAAGTACTCGTAAGTGTTTACTTAAGTATAGTTCAGTTAATTTTCCAAGGGTTGCTGTAACTATCACTCTGCTAAATCCTCACTTAAGTAAGTCACTTACCTTGTTAAGCTTCAAGCTTTTCATTTTTTCTTTGTGCAAGTTTTATTTTATTTTGTTAGCATGGCTCAATTCAATGTAAATGATTTTTGTGCCTCTCCTTCACTAGACCAACTTAAAACTCAAAATATCAAGAAAGATGATTGGAAAGCCATTGCTAGGCACTTTGAAGTGCCAATTACCTCACAAATGAC